TTTGCGAAAGCTTCTATGACTTGAATATAGAAAGGTGGGTAAAAGTGGCTAATCAATGCATGTAGATTCTTTCGAGGATGAACAACATTATCAAATAACTCATCATATGCTTGATCGAGGTAAGAAAAGGGTCTGCTTGGCCATGAGAGCTGAACTAATCTTTCGAATATTGAGATAGTGGGAGTGTTCAAGGGTTAGAAGAGAATTTAATGCAAACGTTTCATTGAAGAATGACGATTGCATTTCTGGAAAATGTAGAGCTCATGCACGTTCTAAGACGTGGGTAAAATACCTTGATTCACTAATATCACCAAGTATTGGGTATATTAGTGCGTGGGGTAATGTTGGTTACATATTTTGTATAAGCCAGTTACAGTTCGACACGTCGCAAGATAAGGCCAATATGGGAAGACAATTCAAATCTTCAATCGTAATCACACACGTGGCAGTTAGTATTGGTTATTGTAGATCTACATAAACACTAGATCAGCAAAGAGATGCAAAGTGACGTGGCTTCAACGGTTATTCATATTTAAATTCAAAATCAAGTGGGAAGCTTAACTGTAGATATGGCATAGTGGAGCTAACTATAAGGCAACATGATCAGCGACCATGGAGGGGTGGTTCGACGGTTAGAAATGCAGTTCGACGGTTGTCATTGGGAAGTATAAATAACAGAGAAGGTCTTAGAAAGGGCCCCCAGACTCAGATCCAGAAACCAGTTTTATCTACTTTATTTCCTTTCTAGTTTTTACATTTATTGTTCTTTACATTTCTGTATTTCAAATTTCTGCACTGCACTTCGTTCATAGGAATAATTTCAAGTAGTTTGTTACTGTAAACCTCTACGAGACTGATTTGGATTTTTGTAAGTCTTTCATTTTACTTAATAAAATGTTATAATTGTTCCTCATTTAATCATTGTTGATTTAATTTTCCTAAACAAAGTCACTAGTTAAAGTCCTTTTCATTGAGGCTGGAAGAATTAAAATACAATCGTCTGATAATTGGTTGGCAATTAATATTCTGTAAGGACTAATTGATCCTTACTGGCACGTTCACAATTACAAAAATAATCTTCGAAAGCCAAAAAACCAACATATATATACAACCCAATCAAATTTTTTCTTGATCTCATTTTGGTTCGAATTTGAGGCAAATACAATGGGATGATCCTAGTTGGAGAGAGAACCGAGAAAAAGGATATTATATTATTAAATATATATACATATTAAATACAATGGGATGATCCTAGATAGAGAGAGAACCCAGACGATCCTAGTCTAAATCTGAGGCAAATATATATGCATATTATTGGATAGAGAGAGAAGAAGATGAAGATGAAGATGAAGATGAAGATGAAGATGAAGATGGAGAGCAAAAGAATTGGGTTTCCCTTGAATTATATATGAAGATATAATTGTCTATTTATAACTTCTGTTAATAGAAGTTAGTGTGCGTTTTAGTCCATCTACCATAATTGGGATTATGTGGTGATTTTTGAATATTAGGGATAAATCGCATCCGACCCAAATTATAAGGGGTAAAGTGAAGTTTACCCAATAAATATCAATGCATTTGTGGTTCCCAGTTCACGAGGACTTTAAATAAAGGTTGAAAATAAATACATTACTATGAATTTTGAATATAAAAATAATGTTAAAATGAGTGAGCCATGTTTAATTTGATTTTTATAAATTTATTTTGGAATTTAAAAAAAAAATTAGTCAAAAAAATTAAAATTATTTATCATTTTTATATAATTTTATCTAATCAGATGTTAGAAATAATTTTTAAAAATTTAAACTTATATTTTTATATTTATTTTATCAAACTAGGTTTAATTTTTTCAAAAATATTTATGATTTTTTTTTTGAAACACAAACCCAGCCTGGCCTAAAATTCTTATAGAGGTAACATAATATTTTATTTATATGATTAACAAATTATTGATGAAAAATTAGTTAAATATTATGTGATTTAAAATTTTAAGAGAACTTAATATAATTATGTTAAAATTGTGAGACTTACTGTATTTTTAGTATAAAAGATATGATAACAAAGTATTGTTATTTGTATGATTAACAAATTATTAATGAAAAATGAGTTAAGTATTATGTAATTTAAAATTTTAGACGAATTTAATATAATTATATTAAAATTTTTTAAAATTTAATTTTATATAACACTTAATTTTTTTTATTATAAATTTATTATTCATATAAAGAAAAAAATAATATATTTTTTCTTCTATATTGTTTATTTTTGTATGTTTACACTATTTACATTAATTATAATCTCTTTAAATTTTCTAAGAGGGAGGTTAATGTAATTATTTTAAAATTTTTTGAGTTTATTATAGGGGCACTTTTTCATAAATCTTTTTTCGCCTATTTATGTTCCACTTAGTTCAAATTATTTTTTTATATTCTAATAAGTCCTATAAGTGATTGGTTACCAAAATATCCCAAATAATAATATTTACATTGATAGTGTGAATGTTTTGTTATGTGAACATTCACATTGTTAATGTGAATATTTACATTGTAAAATACAAATGTTCACGTCACCAAATTGCTAATCGTTCAAAAAAATATTTGAAAGAATAAAATTGTCCATAAAATAACTTAAATGTGAGAATTAGGTTTTAGTGTATCAAATATGTAAATAATAGAATTTATTGAAATATAAGAATATTACGCACTAACTAAAATACAAACACTTAAAAAAAGAATCTCCTAATAAATATTCTTTTAGGATTTGTTTGGAATGTGGGTTGAATTTTTTACTTTTGTAGACTGTGGCTAAAAAGTCTCGTTCGGGATAGATTGTTTGATTTTTTTAACTTTTATGAGATAAAAAGTGAAATGATTATGATTTGGATATGATATTTTGTCTAATTGGGTTAAAAAACCTATTTTGTCTCTTTGTAGATATTTTAATAAAAAAAAACCCTATTTTAATTTATGCCAAACAAAGGCTTATTGGTATTTACTTCAAATCTCAAAAAAATATCAATATATATATAGGTTGGTTTGGGTAGTGGGTTGGCTTTTTAATTTTTTGACTTTTTGACTATTTTAGCCTGGGGTTAAAAAGCCTCACTTGAGATGAGTTTTTTAAATTTTTTGAATTTTGTGAGAGAAAAAAAATGTAATGATTATAAGTTGGATGTAATATTTTGTCTTATTGAATTAAAAAACTTATTTTAATTTTTTGTAACTATTTTAGTTAAAAAGCCCCAAACCCACTCTTCCCAAACGAGTAGATTGAAGAAAAATAGGATAAAATAATAGCAATGAGACTTGAAATGAGATGTCGAGCACCACATCTAAGGAAATCAATGGTTTAGATAATAATTAGAGATAAAATAAGTTATTTTTTAAAATAATAATTCAGATAATTGTTTTAGTAAGTTATTTTAATTTTTAATTATTTTAGTATGATAAAATTTTTGTATTTAGAAAGATAGTTGGATTTTTTTATAGGACAAACTTTACTTTACCCCCTATGGTTTGGGCCGCGTGTGGTTTACCTCCTGATATTCAGAAATCATCACATAATCCCCTTATGGTTGATGGACTAAAACGCACAGTCAACTTTTCTGTCTAAAATAACAAAATGTGAAAGTCATGCGCCTCTATAGAGAGTGAGTTCGTTTTTATGACGAAAATACCCTTTCTACCTCTTAAATTTACAAAACATTATATGAGATTGCATGTGTATAAACTGAAACTGGTTCAATATTTCTCACCAAATCACTCAATTAATTACATTCATCAAATAAAGAAATCATAGAATTTAGATCAAACCATTTTTCTTTCTTTCTTTCTTTTTTTGTTTTTTTTTTCTCTGGGTAGAAGTTTATAAATCTGGATATTAATGACAATGTTTTATAACTTCTGAATCAAACTTTACATATATATGTATATATATATACAACCCAAACAAACTTTTTTTTAGTTTTATAACTTCTGAATCAAACACACCGCGACCGCGCATTTGTGACATTAGTGAAATTTGTGAGATTGAAAAGTTCAAATAACAAGGAGATTGAAATAGAGGAAACCCAAAAGACCCATTTTAGAGGTTCATTTGAGTGTGCATTTGTTTTGAAGATTAAAGGGTGTGTAAATGAGTTTTTGACTGAATAGAGATATGAAGAGACGTGTAGATCTAGAGAGAGAGAGAGGAATGAGGATTTACATGACTAGGGTTTTAGAAGGAGCGGGCTAAAGATGATGAAGAGGAGAGAGAGAAAGAGTGCTATGAAATGTAAATGATGATTGATGGAAACAGACGACTTGAATGAAAATAGAGAAACTCCCTCCAATTCCGCTGAGACAAAGCTTTCACACGCATGCATTCAGATTCTCGCATTCTCTGTATTTGTGTTTGGGACGATCCTAATTCTCTGAACCCTTCTTTAACTATGATTCAAAAAATAGAGAATCCAGAAAAGGTTTGTGATTATTATGAGTGTTAATAAAGGTGTTGAAGAAGATGAAGAAAAAGAAGAGGTGAAGAAAAAGACGGTTGAAATGGAGAGAGAGAGAGAAAGAGAAGAAGATGAAGATGAAGATGAAGATGAAGATGGAGATGGAGAGAGAAAGAATTAGGTTTCCCCTGAATTATATATGAAGGTATAATTGTCAACTTACAACTTCTATTAATCAAAGTTAGTGTGCGTTTTAATCGATCAACTACAAAAGAATTATTTAATAATTTTCAAATATCAGAGAATAAATCGCACCCGATCCAAAACTATAGGATAGAGTGAAGTTTGTCCTTAATATTATTATGCGGGGGCGAACTTGTCATTTGAAGAACAGTTGGAAGATATTCTGTTTGGAAAGAGGGAATATATGTGGTAACAGATTTTTCCGTGGAGAAAAAGGAAGGCTGCTTGTCTTGCTTTCTTTCTTCCCCATTTTGCTTCTTTGAATTCAGTTGATGATCAGCAATTTCTTTGTTGTTCTATACTATACGGACAAACAGACAAAATAAGGAAAGATTATTGAAGGTTCATTTCGTTTCCCAGAAGAAATTGTTCCACTTCCAACGGTGTAGCAGAGATTTGGGCTTGGTTTTGAAATGCATTGAGATATTTCTTAGTGTACTCTGTGTGTGTGTGTGGAAAGAAAATCGAAAGACCTCAATTCAATGGCACAGTTTACAGTACAGGGTCGCCTGAAACCCCTATTCAATGGAGATGGAATGTTGATCGGGTTCGAACCCAAAGAACCTCGTCACCACCACCGCCATAAGCTTCTGAGTGGTTCAGACCCATTTCCACTTCGATTCCACAAGCGCAAACTAGGGCTTCGTGGTTCTAGTAGCACTAGACTGTCTGCATCATCATCATCACCTGCTAGCAAATCCTACCATTTCAATTCGGAGGCCAGCTTAAGTGTTGGCAATGACGGTATTTATGATGACAGTGAGGGCACTGCTGAATTCGAGAGGGACGAGCTCTCTTGTTTCAGAGGTTTGGTCTTGGACATCTCTTACAGGTTCGTTTTCTTTATTATTATTATTATTACTCTATTTATGGAAGTATGAAATAATGTTCGTCTAGGGGCGTGACAAATGACTAGAATATTTGCCTGGTAGTCCATCCTGTATAAAAGACGTTCTCTATGGTGTTTCTTTTTTGATTTTCTTTCTTTTGTTTTCTGTCTGTTCTTCCCATTTCCGATGTACCAAAAAAAATAAAAATAAAGGACATTCTCTATGACATACAAGTAAGTTCAGAAGATCAATAAACATAGAAATATATTTATCCATTAGAAGAGTTTGAGCTCTTGATTTTGTACCCTATTTGTGGTTTTGGGTTTCAATACTTGTGGCTGCTTGCTTCTCTTGTAATCTCCATCATGGGCCGAACCAGAATTTCAGCCTCAATGGTGCCAACTTGGTGTCCCATTCCGAATCCCCCATCAACGAATTGAATATGGTCGGATTTCGTATCAATTTCATCAAATAATCAATTACAACACAAATTATGATAATATATATGACATCATGGGCCGAACCAGAATTTCAGCCTCAATGGTGCCAACTTGGTGTTCCATTCCGAATCCCCCATCAACGAATTGAATATGGTCGGATTTCGTATCAATTTCATCAAATAATCAATCACAACACAAATTATGATAATATATATATTCCCCCCCCCCCTCCCTCTCAAAAACCAATAATTTCAGCTTAATTTGATCACATTATATTTTAGTTATTTCATCTGTTGTTTGCTTATTCATTATTTCGAATGATCTTTCTTGTTCCAATGGCGTTCCGTTTTTGTTATTTGTCTTTATATTGAATAAATAACTGTTACTTGTAATTCTCAGTGCATGAATTCTTGGTGCTCGAATGGTTGAAGATTCAGAAATCTTGCTGGAAGCTTTGGCCCTTTCATTTCTTTATTATTTATGTAATAGAAGGGTCCAATTGATTGTGATTCTTTTGTTAGGCCTGTCAATGTTGTCTGCTGGAAGCGTGCTATCTGTTTGGAGTTCATGGAAAAGGTTCGACTTTTAGCTCACAGATTCAACATTGATGTTTAGGCACTCTATTACATTCAACCTTTACATCTATCATTTCAGTTGGTTTCTTAAGTTAATTCATTCTTTAAAAGCAATTTTGTATATTCCAATATAACAGGAAAATAATTTATCAATTGTATGTAAAAGATAAAATAGAAGTGGAAACCCAATTACCTGTCACATATTAAATCTTATGGTTATATCAGGTTGTTATCTATCTAAATTGCTTTTTATATAAATATGCTGCATTTAATCTTTTGTTGACTGATTTCTTGTTGGATCATGAACATGCCTGATCCTTATATGTGACATATATGAATGCATACCAATGAAAAACGGCATTGTATTTTAATTTAAAATTTCATGTCGTAATTTTTTTACAGGCTGATGTTCTAGAGTACTATGATCAAACTGTAAACTCTCCTAGTGGATCCTTCTACATACCTGCCGTACTAAGGGTATGCAATTAAGGCACATTCATGGGTGATCAGATTACTACAAATTTCTTGGAATTCAATCATTGCTACATATCCTCTCATCACTGTCTGATTGTTTTTCTCTCATTTTGTTGATTTGTATGTTCTTAGTCTCATTTCCTCGTATAATGAGTAGCCCTGAGACTTGATAATCTCCATTCTTCCAGGTTCCACATTTACTGCAAGTTGTCAAGAGAAGAAGAATCAAAAACACCCTAAGTCGTAAAAATGTATTTTTTCGGGATAGTTTCACTTGTCAGTAAGTACACCACTGATGGTTGCTTCCATTTTTGATACATTTATAGTTGCCTTTGTTTGATTAAAAAAATGACAATTAGCAATGCCATGAGTATAATTTTTTGTTTCCGTAGTGTAGTTGATCCTAGTGAACTCAGGCTTAAAAATTACAAGTGGGGAGGTTTTTGCAGAAACCCTCCCCACCCTTCTCTATTTTGAAGGATCCTTCATATTGAGGATTCTGGGCTTCCTAAGTCTCATCTCATGACAGATGGCTACAAACAAGAAAGTTAAGTAGTCCAGAAATAACATATAATAATGGGAAGAAATCCACTATTTTAGAGAATGATCAATTAATAATTTATGTTTTTCTTGTTAGTGTAGGTGTTTATTTTAGAGGGACTCCTAGGGTGTTTTGAAACCTTGGTTTCACGAATTAAAATGGAGGATGAATTTTGTGGTGGCCGAATATAAAAAGCTACAATTGGGTAGAGCCATATGTAAGTCGGCTCTTAAGGGCCGATGAACTGTTGTTCGCCTCGGTCGAATAAGCCTACCTTTATAGCTGAGTATGTTGCAGATCATACGGCGTAACTGAGGGCCCAACTATGAGGCAGGGTTTCCATAAATAAGGTGGTGGCCCTAGAAGAGTATTATAAAAGGAGGAACATCAGCCAGAAGGAAGGTATGTGAAAGTAAACTAGATAACTTGAAATAGAAGTAAACTTGAGAGAATACTGACTTGCCCGTCGGAGTGCTAATTCTGGCATCCCGACTGGAGTGTTCATTCCTTTTAGGTAGCAACCAGAGGATCCAAGAGCGTCTACCTGGATCAGAGAGTGTTTCCAAACCACTTTACCACAATTGGCGCCGTTTGTGGGAATACTCAAGTACGTTCATGGCAGGCCTAACAAATGATCCTTCACTCGTTGCTGATGATGTTACACCAAGAGATGATGTTACTCCAAGGAACATGCTTGGACCGGAGAATATCACTGCGCGAAGAGTCCTGAACTTTGACTCAGTAGCTTAAGCCTCACCCTCAACCTCTATGTAGGAGATTATGCAGACGATCATGGATCAAGCAACACGAAATGAACAACGTCTGGAAGCTATAGCGGCCGATAACGAGCATTTACGTAAAGAATTGGCCTTGAAGGTAGCCAAATCCCAACAGGCCAGGGTGTCATGTCCGGGGTCGATCGCCAGAGAAGCGGATGGATGATCAATGGCGTTGACGTTGGAAACACGGTAGTGGCAGTGATTCTGATTCGCCATCTCAGGAACCCAGAAAGAAGAGATGAGTTGATGTATCTAGCTCATCCGAGGGCAGTTCATGTGTGCGACACAGGTGAGGGAAAGGAAGTGATGGTTCAAATGAAGAAGATAGGCACGACCCTTTCGTACGACGCATTGCAAGGGCTGTGCTACCTAAAAAGTTCAAAGCATTGACATTCACCCTATACAACGGAAAATTAGATCCCACAGACCAAATTCGTCATTACAAACAAGCGATGACGTTGCATGCTGATGATGAAGCCCTCATGTGTCGAATGTTTCTAAGTAGCCTGGTACCATTGGCCGTCAGATGGTACTATAAACTGGAACTGGCGTTAATAAGAAGCTTTCATTAGCTCCAAAAATCCTTCAGGGCGCCAAACAAGCCGACTCTCTCTGGGCGATGTAAATTAAACCAAAAGAGACCCTCCGTGAATATTCGGCGCGCTATTGGGAGTGTTTTAACTTAGTGGATGATGCCTGCAATGATTCTATAGCCATTACCGCCTTTAGGATGGGATTACACCCTAATAGTCTTGTTCGTAGTTCGTTGACCAAACGGCCTCCCAAAACAGTTTGGGCACTAATGAAGAAAGTTAAAGAGTACTGTAAAGTGGAAGATGATGCCCTGTGCGTTAAAGTCGGACAGAAAGTCATTAAATTGGCTCCATCTGGTTTGGTTCAGCCGATAAGCGCCATGTCATCAAGGAGCCCCGAACCTCGAACTTGGACTAAACGAGACAGCCGGCGTGATTCGTGCCGATCAAGCGGGCAGTGTTCGCACCATTCAAACGAACAATATCAAGTTGATAGCAGGCGCAAGAAGTATACAGAATTGGTGGAGCCAATCAGTAAGATCTTACTTAAAGTCTAGCATCTTCTGTTTTTTAAGTAGCCGTTCAAGATGATGGGACCCCCTGATATAAGGAGAAGGGATAAGTGGTGCAAATATCACAAGGACCATGGCCACGACACTGACAGCTGTTATGCACTAAAGAACTACTTGGAGGAGTTAGTGCAAGACGGCTGGCTGGCGCAACATGTCCGAAAGAACAATCCATCAAACACAGTAGCTCTACGGTCGGATTCGCCTCCACTTGGTGTAATTCACATGATATACAACTTATCGTCGTCAGCCGAGGTACATACAATTCAGTTGCAACCCAACCTGTCCAAGCCAATCGCACCAGTCAAATGGCCCCATGAAACTGGCAAGATTAGCTTCGATGACACCGACCTAGATGGAATAACTCTTCCCCATGCCGATCCCTTCATCATCGAGCTACGAGTGAACAGATTTATAGTTGAGTGTGTTCTCATCGATCAGGGAAGCACCTCAGAAATAATGTATTACAAGACGTTTGTTAGACTTGGCTTCACTAATTCGGATCTGTTGCCGGCCGATTACCATTGTTCGGCTTCAACGCCAACCCCGAGTATCCCTTGGGCAAGATCACACTACCAGTACGGGTGGGTACCAAATCAGTCGACGTGGAATTTCTGGTTGTCAAACTCCCGTCACCATACAATCTTATCATGGGAAAGACCTGGTTGCACACAATGCAGATAGTGCCAAGCACCTACCATCAACTACTCGGCTTTCCAACTGAATATGGCATTGAGCAGATTTGGGGCTCTTAGAAATCGGCACAGGCATGTTATCTTATTGCCGCTGTAAAGAGGCCAAAGGAACTGGAAGTGAACTCAATTAAAGTACCGGATCGAGAGAGCCTCGATGATATTGGGAAAATCCCCAGCGAAAAGGCAACTGAAGACCTTGATCAGATCGAAATCAACGGGAACCTTGACAAATTCTTCATGATCGGCACTTCCTTGAACGAAGTTGACAGAAGCGAGCTGGTTTCCTTTTTACTTGGCAACCTTGACGTGTTTGCGTGGACACCATACGAAATGCTGGGAGTGGATCCAGTTGTGGCCCAGCACCGCGGAGCATGCATCCACCGTTGTTGATGAAGTTGACAGGTTGCTTGACACGTGGTTCTCCAATACCGTGGTTGTAAAGAAGTAAAATGGATCCTGACGCGTTTGTGTGGATTTCACGGATTTGAACAAGGCCTGTCCAAAGGATTGTTTTCCTCTTCCCAAAATCGACCAACTTGTGGATGCAACGGCACATCATCAGCACATGAGCTTCTTGGATGCCTACAGGGGTTATCACCAAATTGCCATGCATCTGGAGGATCAAGAAAAGACCGCATTCCTCACCCCAAGGAGAACGTATTGCTACAAGGTCATGCCCTTTGGGCTGAAGAATGCGGGGGCAACTTACTAGAGGTTGGTTACCACTATGTTTAAGGAACAACTCGGCCGCACCATGGAAGTATAAATTGTTGACATGGTGGTGAAATCCAAGGAAATGCACACTCATCTAGCCGATTTAGCAGACCTTCGGCATTCTCTGAAAGTACAAGATGAAATTGAACGCCTCGAAATGTGTATTCGGCATCGGATCCGGCAAGTTTCTTGGCTATATTGTCAACTATGGCGGAATAGAGGCCAACCCGTGGCAGATCACAGCAACTCTAGAACTCGGCTCCCCTCGGTTGGTCAAAGAAGTTCAGAAGTTGATGGGAATGGCCGCCACTCTCAATAGGTTTATCAACCATTTCTCAGATTGCTGCCGACAATTTTTTCATACACTTTGGCAAGGCAAAGCATTTGAATGGACCCCTGAGTGCGAGGCCGCGTTGGACGGCTTGAAAACTTATCTCCGCTCAGTACCATTCCTGGAAACCCCATCGCCAGGCGATCCACTCATCTTATATCTAGCGATATCCAACCGGGCGGTCAGCGCCGTGCTACTAAAGGAAGAACTCGGGGAGCAACGACCAATTTACTATGTACGCAAGGCAATGGTCGACGCCGAAACACGATACCTACCACTAGAAAAGCTCATCCTTGCTCTCGTGGTAGCTGCAAGAAAGTTGATGCACTATTTTCAGGCTCATACGATAAGGGTATTAACAGACTAAGACTATCCTCTCCGATCAGCGCTCCGTAACGCGGAAGCATCGGGGCGAGTCTCTAAATAGGCTTTGGAACTCGGCCAGTATGATATCCAATTTCTGCCTAGAACGGCTATCAAGGGGCAAGTGTTGGCCGACTTTATAGCCGAGTTTACAGGGTGCCATGCCGACTTCAAGTCCGACCAACTCGCCCGCCAGCCTCAACTAGACTGGAGAATGTACGTTAGAGATATTTGGCAGATGTATTGTGATGGATTGTCTAACCAACGTGGCAATGGGGCCGGCGTAGTAATCATGACTCCCGAAGGGGCAATAATCGAGCAAGCAGTTAAATTGGGTTTTGAAGCGTCGAATAACGAGGCCGAATACGAAGCGTTGTGAACTGGCCTCCACAATGTGCTTCATCTGGGCGCTAAGCGATTACAGGTTTTCTGCAACTCAAAACTAGTCATCAACCAGTTAAAGGGGGAATATGCCGCTAGATATGACCGAATGGCAGTGTATATGAAAACGGCGAATTCCTTGCTCACAAAGTTTGACCATCACGAGTTGAATCAGATAACCTGGGATTAGAACACGCATGCGGATGCCCTTGCTTGCCTAGTCTCCGCCATTAACTCAGAAGTCAAACGAAAAATTGAAGTAGGGTTCATTCTAGAGTCGAGCATCACCTCTTCTGAACTAGTTTAGATTAACATCATTGAGCCAGGTCCGAGTTGGATGGACCCTATTGCGACATTTCTCTCCTCAGAACAGC